ATCAATCTGTTGATTCCTAGCAACACAATAGCTTTCTGCCTTTGAGCATGTGGCATTCTCCCAAATATAATTTTTTCTTACCTGCTAACTGATGAATGGATCAGTAGATGATTATATAAAATATACACTGGCAAATTATAGTTATCTATATTACATTCAGCTCTAAACATTACTCAGTTAATACAATGAAAATTAAAAAGCAAAAAGAAAATAAAAGAATCAACATACAAGTAGAAAGGCAGCTCATTAAATTATTTGACATTGGAAGGCCAAAATTCTAGGACAGAGAATTCATACATTTCTGAATCTGCCAATTCTCATTATCTCATTTAAAGGCTACCAGGCTTCCCTGGTATTTGGCTCAGTGGTTAGAATGCCATCCTGTGCACCGAAAAGTCACAGGTTCCATTCCTGGTCAGGGCACATACCTGGCTTGAGGGGTTTTATCCTCAGTCAGGGCTTGGGCATGAGACAACAGATGGAAACCATGTTTCTCTCTCCCTCTCCCTCACCCTCTTCCCCTCCCTGTCTTTAGAATCAATGAAAACATATCCTTGAGTTAGAAATAAAGGCTACCAGTCAAACTAAGGCTCTGTTATTGGTCCCAGGGGCAGCTGGATGCTGATTGAGAGGAGTAAAGTGGAAACTAAAAATACATATTTTAATGAGAAATTATATTATTGGCCAAAAACTTTCTAGAAGGTAAATTATATGATTGGCAAAAAACTTTCTGAAAGGTAGACCAACTATCTCACTTACTAGCATTCATTTATATAGAATTAACTGTAGTTTATTGAGTCCTGACGGATGTCTACATAACAATAATTGATTCACTACACCTTTTAACAGCATATTGAATTTAAATTATTTATAAATTGCAGCAGAGATATTAATTAGTTTGCCTAGTTCAGGGTTGTTTTCTAAATGGGTATCCTAGGTCCTGCTGAAATGTTGGGGCCTGGGCAACCATATTTTTGAGCAGGTGACCATGTGTCCTGATCCAGACTGAATGGATCAGAGGCAGACACCTGAAGTAAGCCAAGGCAAGAGATCATATTCCTCTGGGGATATGGAATTGAATCATAAAGGTGATAATTTGTCTGAACCAGGAGATCATATGGAGCTGGGACTGAAGCAGAGAACGCTCATATTTTGATGGGTCACAGGAGAATGAAATAGACTCAAATTACAAAGAAGTGACTCTAAGGAGGGGAAGAGTAGAGTCTCTATTCCTAATCTCCAGTTCCTAGTTCTTATTCTGTCTACACTTTTTCTCCTTCTCTGTGTAAACAAGTTTGAGTGGGTTCCTGGTTCTTCCAATCAAATATTCTTATAAATTTAGACACAGCCTGCCCCAGAATGTAAAGAAATGTAGAGATTTTGTAGCCATCTTTCATTGCCATATTTATCTTCTACTCACAATTCTCCCCCAATGTTAAGTAGCTACTGCAACATCTAACAAAGAATTTGTGGTTTAGTCTGGAATGATTAAAAGTAATTGTTGTGATGAGAAAAGGTCTGATTCTGGATTATATTCTAATGATAAAGCCAAAAGGATTTGCTGACCATATTGGGTGTATGAGAGAAAGAGGCAAGATGAGGCCTCCGTTTTTGGCGTGAGCACTTAGAAGGGTGGTGTTGCCATTTACTTTTCACATTTATGACTCCTGGATAATTTCCAGTAACCATTTGTACCTGAGTGGACTTGACAAATATCATCAGCTAAACAAACAAGCCTTGTCTGGGAACAAGCAGGATCCACTACATTGTGATCTTCTTTGTCAAGCTCTGGCCTTTCTAGAAAAACAGATTAGGCAGATATTAGTGAGCCTTTCTTATTCCATGGATTACATCTGTCACTCTTTAATAGTATGTGAAAAGTATTATTAAACCATATACAGAAATGTCTAGGCAAAAATCAGCACGTTCAAGTGAAGAGAAAATTCCAAAACTGCAAAAAAACAAAAAACAAAAACATCAAGTGAACCAAATGAAGACTTAAATGCAAAATATGAGGCATTAATGTTGAAAAATGAGAAAAATATTGTCAAATTCTTAAAAATTAGAATCTGGGCAATCAGGAGTTTCTAAATATATTCTCATATGTTTCAAATGTTATTTCTACAATGGGAACAATATTTGAGGTAAGGAAGAATGTCCCCAGTATTTTTTTAAAATATATTTTATTGATTTTTTACAGAGAGGAGGGGAGAGGGATAGAGAGTTAGAAACATCAATGAGAGAGAAACATTGATCAGCTGCCTCCTGCACACCCCCTACTGGGGATGTGCCTGCAACCAAGGTACATGCCCCTGACCAGAATTGAACCTGGGAACCTTTCAGACCGAAGGCCGATGCTCTATTCACTGAGCCAAACCGGTTAGGGCCCCAGTATTTTTAATTTAGGTATTCTATTTTAGAATTTAAATATTGTTGTAAACATTTTGAGAACTTTACCAAAAGTTCACCTTTTCTTTTCAAAAAACTCCTCATAATTTGATCCGTGAACTGAAGAGCTAGTGACAAAGTGTGTACTTTATCCAATTACTCACAATTAATATTTTGTGATTAATGAATAAGCTTTGCAAAGCAGTTAAAGTTACTATTTTGTTTCAGTCTCCACCCTCTGGGCTTCTTTCTATTCTACCAGCCTGTTCTCTTCCTTCAACTAACTACCCATCCCTCTTCCTCAAAAAGAGAAAGAGAATAAATTTGGATCAGAATACTTCTAAAAAGTATTACCTTAGGGCAGGTCAAGCATATTGAGTGTGTTTCTGAGCGAATTGCCAGGCCAAGCTTTTTTTTTTTTTTTTTTTTTAATTAAAACACACATCAATAACCAATAAAAACTGATTTTTTTTTTCCCTCAGAGAGAGTTGCTTGACATGGGAACCCAGTGAGATAGTGTCAATCACAGCTGACTAAGAGGACACATTACCTTCCATCTGAGGCGCTGAGGTTTGACACCGAGGTGGGCCACATCTCTAAGTCATCTGGTTGTAGAACGTTTGATGCCAACTCTTTTTTTTTTTTTTTTCTGGTCAACCTAAAGACTACTACCTGAGAAATTAAAAAGAATCAAAACAAAGACTTTAAGGTAAGGACGGTGGGGAGTAATCCTCTCCCCAAGGACCCATCAGAGCCAAGATAATAATACTAACAATGAAAACATGCAAGGGATACTAATTAAGTCTCAGAGGTTTTATGTAGAAGGTAGGTAAGGATAGTCTCAATACAAGGATGGTGTTTCTCAAAATAGGACCAAGTATTTTGTTTTAAACTCAGAATGGGTTCTTTGACTGTGTTTTAGCAAACATATACTTAGTCCAACAGCAACTTATAAACCTGTAATTGTAGTATCTCCTTCCCACCAGCTCTGAGTCAAACATGTTCAACTTTCAGGGTAACCTCTGGCCTTGTCATCTGCTCTTTTTATGTAACTCTGTTATTCTATTTTCACACACCCATAGTTTCAATTCTACCTACAGTGACCACTGCACTGTTTCTGGTTTTATGACCAATGGCACAAACTAAGTTCCTTTTGGTATGCAATTTTTAATGATAAAATCTCTATTAAGTAACTTACCAACATGTTAGTAAACCAAAACGTTAGTAAAGCCAATATAAAATATATGGACTATACCCCAATAAAACTGAGCCTTTTTATTCTCAACACAATTACACACACACACACACACACACACACACACACACACACACCCCTAGCTCTCAAAGCCTGGGAGATCAATTTAGATATTTTCTGAGTTATTTTTAAGATAATTTAAAGGAAGATAAAACACTGAGCATAGAAACACTTCCCCATATTTCTCTTCACCTATTTAAAAATCCCCTCACCCCACTTTTCCCCACCTCTCATCAGTTTTTCCAATAACTCCATCACTCTCTTTAGAAAGCCCAGCCCTGATCACTGACTCCAAATCCCCCTTCCTCAAACCTCCCAGTCATTCTCTTATCTATATGCTTATATAACATCATCTACTCCCTTCTATCTGACACTCAGCTAATAAGATAAAAAGGAGATGAATATGTCGGAAGCACAAAGAATATTCTTCACAAAGAAGGGAAGAAGAATGTGACTATGTAGATTATAGTAGTTACTTCCAGTTTTTCCTGGCCCATAAATACTCCCAGAGAGATAATAATCATGATGTTGGAGATGCAAAATGACTAAAGTCTATCAAGAAAGGGAGGGAAAAATGCCCTAGCCAGTTTTGCCCAGTGGATAGAGCATTGGACCACAGACTGAAGTGTCCCAGGTTTAATTCTAGGCAAAGGCACATACTTTAGTTGCAGGCTTAATCCCTGGCCCTGGTCAGGTTGCATGTGGGAGGCAACCAGTCGATGTCTCTCCCTCCCCCCTCCCCTCTGTCCACCGCCTCCCCCCCCACACACACACACACCTCCATTCCACTCTCCCTAAAAATCAATGGAAAAATATCCTCCGGAAAGTATTAACAACAACAACAAAAAAGGGAGAAGCAGAAGAAAAGTGCAAGATTAGTGCAGTTTCCAAAACAGAGCATCAGACCCTGAATCCTGGTGCTTTTGTTGATCGGCCAGCAGGGTGACCTTTAGCATTCCATTCCACAAACGTTTGCTCTGTGCCCACAGTGTGACACAGTGGGTGTTGTGGGGAATATAAACATGATACAACTTGGTTGTGGCACTTTAAAAGATGGCAATATAGTGATAAGGAAGCAAAATCCCTAAAAGGAGTGACCAGACTAATGCCAAGCGCATCCTTTTATTCTCCTAAGGATTATTATCATATTCCATTTCAAACTCTCCATAGCAACACTCTCCCATTGGGTATGTACTCATCATCATGGTACCTTGTCTCAGAGGATGAGCTTCCATGGAAGCATCCCCTGGGTTTGGGAAACATAGAAGAAGGATGAGGAAAGACCCTGGAATCACTCAATTCCCTATTATTCATCCAAAACCTCCAACCACTCCCACTAGGTTTCATCCAGACCAGCATGACCCAAATATTTCCACCAAGACAATCTTGTTCAACAGGCCCCAAATACAACTTCCCTTCCTTGGTTTCCTCATAACCGTAATCAGGCTGTAACTTCAAGGTGTGGCTTCATGAATGGGGTAAGTGGAGTTTCTCACATCCAGGTAAGTACCTACTCACTCTCCAGCATGGAGTGATGTGCCCCTTTGACTTTGTAGTGAAAAAATAAGTGATTATTCCTTTCAGCCCAGGCCCATAGAAAGAAAGGGAAGGAAGGTACCAGGCTTTTCCTTATCCTCATTGCTCTTTGTTTGGCAGTTGGCATGACTGCCTTTTTGAGAAGCCACTGGAAACAAGGTAATGTGAGACTATCAGTCAACCAAAACACTTACTTAGAACCAATACATTTATGAAGGTGAATGCGACACTAAATGGATTTTAGTGGCATTGTGGGTCCCATCTATTGCTGAGTAATATTGTCTGTCTCAGTGCTGTTTGAAATGATTCATATTCAACTTTCAGTCATGAGGTTCATTTCCTGGGATTTAATAAAGGGTTGTCCAGTGTCCTATAGGATCATCTACTCTTTAGTAATCTTCGTTGGCCTAAAATGCATGACATTGATGCATAAATTCCTCTGCAGTGGCTGCTTCTTCATCTGCTCTTCAACTATAAACGTTCTGCTTATTCATGATGAGAGAGTTTGTTAAATTCAGGAAATCGAGGAGGAAGTTCCATGATAGCATTATCATGGTTCACCAGCCTAGTGGTTTCCTTCAAGAGGCACCTCACTGTAGTGTAGATGAAACTTAGAGCAGAGGTCCCCACCCAATGATCATGTTAGTGCTACCATGCAGCCTCCTGGGATAATTCTACTGCCTTCTTAATATTCAAATATGCAGAGCTGATGTTTGCATTTTTTGTATTTCTACTTCTTTTGTCATGGCAGAACAGACAAGCCTCAGACCACTGCGGCAGGCATACTTGCACTCTGTCACTAGCTAAGTAGCATCAGACAAGTCATTTAATGCTTAATTTTTTATTTCCTTATGTGTAAAATTGGTGAATAAATACCTTAAGTAGAATGTTGTAAGATTAGAGACAAAGAGTATAAAGTTCGTAGTTTAAAATCTGTCATACACAGGGGTGGGTAAACGTAGATTTACAGTGTGAGTGCACAAAACAGAGTTTATTCTTGTATTATTAATTATTGTATTTTCCATACAAGTAACTATAAACCTACTTTTTCCCTACCCCACATATATTGAAATTAAATGGTAGCTTTCAAATCATTGTCTCATGTCTATAGCCACTCTCTAGGTGATCTTATTCTACTCTTGTGACTTAAGAGTTATCTAATCCTTGATGACTCCCAAATTTATATGTCTTTTCATACCTTTCAGGTTTTATTCATATGCTAGAGCCCCAGTGCATGAATTTGTGTACGGGTGGGGTTCTTAGGCCTGTCCAGCCATCAGGGTGGATCAGGGCCAGGCTGATTGGGGCCTGTCAGCTGGGGGGAGGGGCAGGGCATGGGAGGTTGGCTGCTGGCCCCAAGGAGGGAGCCCGCCCTTGCCCCCCCCTGGGAAAGGGGCCACGTCTGCCACCACCCACTCCGGTTCCCCAGCCCAGCCCAAGGCCGGCCCCAGTGGGGTTGGGAGAGGAGGCTATGGTCGCTGGGCCAGGTGCGGAAGGAACAGCTGCCGACGCTGCCAGCCAGCTACGGGAGGGTGGCTGTGGGAGCACACTGACCACCAAGGGGCAGCTCGAGGGTCTTCCCCCTGGTGGTCAGTGTGTGTCATAGCAACTGGTCAACCGGTTGTTCCAGGCATTCTGGTCATTCTGGTCTTTCAGTCATAATGGTTGCTTAGGCTTATATATATATATATATATATATATATATATATATATATATATATATATATATAGATGCCTCTTTGACAACTCCACTTGGATATCCTAAAGGCATCTAAAATTTAATGTCTATAGTAAATTATTCACTTCCAATTGTAAACTATAGCTCCTGGATAATTATTTGGCTGCCACTACAGCAGCAATCTGAGTTGTACAGCAGCCAAGAAAATCTCAGATCCTATGTTTGCTAATTGAACAAAACAATTCATGCTCAGGGGTAGCAGGCAAAATGGGCCTTACTCTGCTGGAATTGTTTTGGAGTTCATTTTTTGATTACTCTACTCCCTAATTCCAGGTTCTCTGACCCCTAAAGCTACTCTCCTGGCAAATAACACTCCAGTTCTCCGCCCATGCCATATCCTTCCAATATGATAGCCCTTTGTCCAGGTATAAGAAATGCTCATTCCACTATGTTTGGAGAGGCCACACTTTCTGTGGGAGATGAGGGTTTGCAGTTAATTAGAGCTTTGTGCTTCTCTGAAACTTGATCACTTTAGAATTAATAAAAGCAAATATTGGAATTAATGTACAAGGGAATAGAAGTTGAAAACATTAAATAATAATATTCTGGCCTCCAAGCTTTCCATTTTAAATGTCTTATAAATAGCCCTAACCGGTTTGGCTCAGTGGATAGAGCGTCGGCCTGCGGACTAAAGGGTCCCAGGTTCGATTCCGGTCAAGGGCATGTACCTTGGTTGCAGGCACATCCCCAGTAGGGGGTGTGCAGGAGGCAGCTGATCAATGTTTCTCTCTCATTGATGTTTCTGACTCTCTATCCTTCTCCCTTCCTCTCTGTAAAAAATCAATAAAATATATTAAAAAAAATAAAAAAAATAAATGTCTTATAAATATAAGTCATAGCTTACAAATCAAATTATTGACAGAAACAGGTTGGTGGATGATACAACTCTAGATTTAATTAAATAAAATTTAACAACTTTTAGTTCTTAAATTATAAAATGGAGGCCCAAAGGATGGCCTCTATGTGATCTCTGCAGTGAATGCTTAGATTATTAAGGGATGGTTGGGAAAAGGGAAAAATCAATTAGATTGAATCTTTAAATGATTCCTGAAATTTTCCATTTTTTTTCCTGTATATACAGTTTGAAATGTAGAAAGTTACCATAAAGAAGTCATTTAGAACTTTGAGTAAGTAAAAGTTCTTTGATTTATAAAGTACTTACATTTTTCTAAAAGAGATTAGGGTACAACAAGAAAAAACAAAACTTATATTTCTATTTTTATAGGTTTTGTGGTTGTTATTTTACATTTATCATTTGATTTGCAATCTATAGCATATCTTATTTTTCCCCATTTTACAAATAGACATTTATAATATTAGTGGTTAAGTGACTTGCTAATGGGTTATACTGGCTTTTTTTACTAGAAGCCAGAAGGACCTCTTGCCTTCTTGGCCCAGAGCCCGTTGATTCATTCAATCTGAATCACTGTTCTATGCCCCAAGGACACAGCAAAGAAACAAAATCCCTTACAAATAAATGTATCGTGTGTCAGGTAATGCTGCTATGAAGAAAAATAAGGCTGAGTAGGGCACTGGAGTGGGGATGGGAAGTGACTGATTGTGAATATGTGGGGGGCAGGGATGAGGGCGAGGAGAGGTTAAAATTGCTCCTATTTTATGGGGAAAGTCGAGGAAGGCCACATTGATAAGGTGCTGTTTGTGACAATTAGGCAGGGACATGATTATATATGGGGATCAAATGTAAGGAAAGAGCAGTCTGGCCAGGGGTTGGCCAAATCCTGCTCACTGCCTGTTTTTTCTAAATCAAGTTTCATTGTAACACAGCCATGCTCAGTCCATAACGTATTGTCTATGGTTGCTCTTGCACTACATTTTTTTTTTAAGTTGATGTAGAAAATTGGTCTTGTCACATCACATAGGCTCAGGGCTTTCTCAGGTTTTCACCTCAGTCCTTTCGAGATGTTCGCATTCTGTCCCTTTCTCACAGTGTGGGCCATGAAGAAGTATTAGCTTCTTAGCCTTGGTTGGACTTGCTAGGTCCTCAGCACAGGTTGTAAATCACAGTCCTTCAGAGGACAAAGAGATGGTCTTGGGAAGATAACTCAACTTCCTGCAGGTGACAATTGGCTGAGATGTAGCCATAGACTCAACAGGTTTCTAGTGGGGAATGCCCATGCCATATCCTTCAAATATGATAGCCCTTTGTCCAGTTGTAGGACCCAAACCAGGGGCAAGGGCCTTTGCAGCCCTCTCCTGCCTACCGCCATGCTATGTTTGTACTTGACTAGTTGCAACAACTGAATCGGGGAGTGTGCTTTCTTTCCTGGGAAGCTTGACATTTCCTCTGACCTCCCCTGGAACAGAAGGCACAGATTCTCTGCTTTTGGATTATCACACTTTAGGGGTCAGAAGGAGAAAGAAGACACTTGAAGAGATAGATGTGTTTATGGGGTGCTCTTCCCCAACTCTACACTCCACTGGAAAAGGAGGCAGAAGGCATAGGGGTCTCCACACTTATACCTGCCTCTAACTTTTCTCTTCCTTTCTTCCCTTCTCATATCTCTATGGGGAGGACAGGAAAAACAGACAGAATTCTTTTGTCCTCCCTGACCCCTTTTTTCTGCCTCTTAAACCTTTCTTTTTAAAATTTAAGCTTAAAAATTAAGATGTCTCGTTTGATTAGCAGTAAAGGTTTTATAATCTTCCAGTGGGCCAAACAGGGACCCACCTCTCTGAGCCTAGCAGCAGAAGCATGGTAGGAGGGGTGGATGGTGAGTGAGAGAAAAATCATGCTAATTAATATATTTTCTTATCCTGCCATATTATATTATATTCCACATCCTTCTAATATTATTATTATTATCTTGGCATAAGTTTTTATACACTCTAGAAAGAAGGAAGTAATTGATTTTATTTTAAATAATACCATAAAAATCCTAAGAATTGTTTATACACATTCGGTGTAATTCTTTTCTCCACACTTTGAAAAATGTCACTGTTTCTCTCCCTTTAAGGGGGAAATAACATTGACACCTAGATGATCCAAAGTCATGGGTTAAAGCTAAAGCCAGGACTTCTGTCAGCTACATAATAACATACTCCTTTTCGATAACAGGCCAAGACCCTCTGACATAAATAATTGAAGATACCCCCTTCACTGACAGTGCAGTAACCTTTATATGACAGCCTAGCTCCTCCACATAGCAACTCTGAACCTATGCTCCGCTGAAGAACTGAAGTGATCCACCTGGCCAGGCCTTTCATCTTCCCCTCTCATTTTACCTAAGACAGGGGTAGTTACGAATAAATCTCAGAATTTATGAAGATGAACATTATTTATTTTCTGCATTCCAATTTCTGTCTCTCATTGCATTTTTTAAAAAGTTATTGCTTGTAGTATTGCTTAAAACTTTTTGTCAAATTTTTATATTAGTTTGCAACCTTGTGGAGATGATTAGAACTTAAGGATCGAAATTATCAATGAAAATTTCAAGATACTGAAAGTTGTAAGCAGCATCAATAGTAAATATTCCATTGACTCACCTCGATTTTGCCTTTCCTCCTAGGTTTAATTAACCAGTCTCTAAGGGTCAGTTATATTTTTTCTCAGGTGCTCATCCTATTTGACTTCATTTCACTAGTCAAAGTTTTTAGTTGATTTCATTCCTCCTACTATCTTATTATCTCTGACTTTCTTTTTTAAAAAAACTTGATTTTTTTAATGAAAAATAATTTACACTAACTTCAATACTATATCCAAAAATATTACTGTTAATTAAGAGAATTATGAAAATTACTGAGTTTTGGCAAATGATCATAGAACAGCATTTGGGTGTTTAATTAATATTTATATTATTTTACTTTTATTTTATAATAATTAATCCATTCACAATTCAATTGGCCCAGATAGAAAACTAATTACTTTAATTTTTACACCTACAAAATAATAAAATGTATTGTGGTTATCATTGGAATTGCTTTTCCTTATAGTAATGCAAATAATATGCCACTTAATTTTTCTTAAAATTAAAAGATAAAACACAAAACATGATTGTTAAAAATGACAAACTGATAATCTGTTTAGAAATCTATTTATAATAAAAGAAAAAGATGTTAAGAGAAAACATATTTATTGTTGACCACAGTTCTTCAGATTAAATGCACAAATATCAAGAATAAACTAAACATAACATACTTCCTTTTTTATTGTTTAAAGTATTACCTATGTCTCCTTTTTCTCCCGATTGACCACCCCCCTCCCCCGCCACTCCCACCCCACAGAACTTTCTGATTTTCCTTTTTTGGCATTAACTTTTTATTTTTTTTTTTTTTTTTTAGTGACTTTTCTAAATCAGCAATTTTGAAAATGTGGCATGGACTCTTGACTGCTCACAATGCAAACAATGAGAAAACTCAACTGATCATAACAATCTGAAGGTTCAGCATCCTATCCAGTGGTCATGGTGATGTTGCCACAATGGTGCCTAGTGCTGATGGCCCCATTATCAATAATTGAGTAATTATTTATTGAAACATTTATATGTAGTGGTATTTATTAAAATTTTAGAAAAAGGAATATATATTTATATGCACTTTAGTTATATCATCTTTTATTGTAGCCTCTTTTAATACACCTATTCTGAGTGTCAGCACAGCACACTGAAAATTCTGTTAGGCTGGTTTCCCACCAGCTGTCATAGCCCACCCTCATTGGCTCAGTCACTCTGTCCTTTCATTCTGGACCATGGCTCAGGCTTTAGTTCTGGCCCCAATGGGGTCATTATGTGATTCTCTACTGTTACCCCTGGTTCTAGCCTTGCATTACCTTGGGTACAACTTATATATTTTACTGACTCCAGCCATCACCACTCTAACTAAAAGACACAGAATGACCCCTCTGTTTCCCCTGCACTTGGCTTTATGCCATACCTACCCTCCCATACAACTGAGTTCACGGGGACAGGGTGGTGAGGAGGGGGATTGGACTCTATGATATACAGAGTAACGTTCAGTTAACCTAACAGCCAGCACCTAAACTTCTTCAAGATTTAGATACTGGGATCAGAAAACACACAATCTCTTTCCACAATATAGATTTATTAAGCTGGTCATTTGCATGGTCTGTTGTTAGGTTGTGTTTAATTTCAAGTTCAGTCTTATTCCTTGCCCAGGACCTTGCAAGGATAGATTCCATGACTGGCGGAGATGGGCTGAGCTGACTGAAAGAGTCTATTGACTTAGGACTTGGTAATCTGAGCATATGGTTGATGAAATATGGGTTCAGAAATTCAGTCCTGCATCAGGCGCAGAAACACTTTCTCTCTGGGTCATCTAACTTGCCTTTCTACTTAAGAATTTCAAAAGCTCAGCATCACTGGATCCTAACCTGATGGCAAGATACTTTGTTATGCCAACAAGACAAAGGATCAAGAAAAGAAAGAATAATGTTCAGTAACAACCTGAAAATCTTTCATTTGTATAGCATTTTACAGTTTTAAAAGCACATTATCTAACTAATATTCACAACAACACCTACATATCATTGGTCTTATTTTAGGATTGAGAGAAAAAAGCTCAGGGAAGAAGAGAGACTTGTAGCCAACACAGCCAATAAATAGCAGAGCAAAGGTGAAAACTCAGCTTCTTGGACTCTTTCCAGAACCCTTTTTTCAGCACCACACTGCCCTTGTGAAAACCCAAGTTATAAAATCATAAAACACGGGAGTGTTTGACTTTATTGTGTTTGTCATGGCTTTATTTTAAAGATTAGTCCCTATCCTCTACCAGATTTTCCCCAGGTCCCTCAATATCCTTTTTCCTGTTTTCTTCTAAGTCAAATTTAACTCAGCTCTAAAATTTCCTTACTCTCCATCTGCCAAATTTTCTCCTCCTCATTAAAAATCTTTAAAATTCAATTAATATAACTATTTGAGAATGCCCCCTTAAATTTCTTTTTGAGTATCTGAATTTAAGATATGAAGTTCTTATAGTGTGCCCTGCTCCCTGTTAATACTCAACACACATTAAATAATATTTACCAGAAAAGTCCCAGGGCCTAAAACTGTAGGTAGTACTGACTTCTTCAAACACATAAGGTACCCCCTCAAAGGGAATTGTGAGGTTTAGGTAACTTAGTACATCAAAACATTAGAACAATGCCTTGCACATAGTATGAGCTCAGTAAAAGTTGTCCTGTTATTGCTATTATTATTATTATCATTTGTCATATAATGGCATCTGAGAAATGATTCCCTCTCAGGTCAGATTGAGGAAGATTAAAAATGTACTCAATTCTAAGTCACAATTGTATATTTTTTTTTCTGACTTGTATAATAATAAAAAATCACTGACTTTATTTAGATGGTCTTTTAAAATAAACATTATTATTAATTTTTACAGGTAATAAAATAATTCCAGCCTGGTAAATTTCTATTTACAAGCTAAAGTTTGCAAAACCTGTTCTGCCCTGTAGTTACTCATGGTGAAGGTTGTTCAGTTGTAGTTATAAACATGTTTACTGTACCAACAATTTCTGGCAGAAATACTGTAGTACTGAAAATGTCCTGGATACTTTTCAGTCCCTTTTATTTTTTCACCACTAAGGATATTTGGATGAAAATAATTTCCTTGTTGTTCAGGAATTCCTCTTCTTACACAACTTATTTCTCTCACTTGAAATAGAAAGGCATTTTTAATTCTAGAATATGCATAGTATCTCTCCCCAAGAAAACTTACACAGTTCTCCTTTTATCAGATGATCCTAGTCCTTCCTACAAACCATTCTGGGCTGATTCTTTTATATGAAAATTCTTCTGTCCCCAAATATTTAAGCTCATCATTCTACACAGCTAAAATTTTGTGTCCTCATTGAGTTTTCTTGGTGGTTTGAAAGGGAGATGACTGCTTCTCTATATTTTAGTTTGTCTCCATGTACAACTCTCTAAGCTCAACATTCCTCAAATTACATACTTTCATATTCATATATTTGTTCATGTTGAATACTTTAGCCCTGAGCAGTTGCTTACGTCTGTTGGCCATTAATAATTGAACTTCTGTTCTCTAAAATCTCTTATATGATGGACAGAGTTTAATGATTTTTATGGAATGCCTACCAGAGAGCTGTATCCAGTTATATTAGTAATAATTTTTAATGCTAGTATCTCAAGATAGCTAATGGTTTATTTGTTTTTCTTAATTGGATGTTTTTAATTGAATGAGTGCATATTAGCTTCATTTGTGTCATTTGCATGCACAAAGACACTAGCTAAACATAATCCTGATCAGAGAGAAGACATACTATATCCTTCCAGCATTTTCCAGAAAAGCAGCACAAGAGCAAAGGGATGATGCCTTAGATTTTACTTACAGCAGAGGAAACTATGCTCATGTTGGTGCAGGACCAGCATCAGTCTGGGAGAAGGCTGACTGAGCTGCCAGGCCCACTTCCCTCTTCAGGTTGCATGGTTCTCTCATATGTGTCTACATAACAGAGAGGTACCAATTCTATGCCAGTGATAAGGATACAATGCAAACATCCAGTTGTCATCTGAACATTTCCATGTGGATGCCCAACACAAGCACTCTCAATTCAATATGTACAAAATGAAAGTGCCTCATTTCTTCCTTGGAGTGTGATCCTTTGGTTATACAGTAAATTTTCACTTAATTTCATTCTTTGAAACTGGGACTTTAAGTGAAATGACATATCACAACATCAATTTTACCATTGACTGATATAAACAAGAGTTAAGTTTTTAGTGTATTTCTGGTTATAAAAACTTCACCAAACTTATAAATAAAGACTTAAACACTTCTAATATTAAATATTTAAATAAATGTAATCAATTTGAGCCTGCTTACTTTGGAGTTAGAATAATCAAATGTTCACTTTGAAAAAGTAAGGGTTTATATACAATAATCGTATTAATATTCTGAAGTAGAATATTGACTAAGTGACTAGAGTGATTCCTAAGTCCAAGATATTATACTACCAGTCACTAGTTTTTTTCTACATAAGAAAGGATGCTTCCCATTCCCAGAAAGATACAAATATTTACATTTGGAACTTAAGAGAAACATGTTAAGTTACTTACCTACAATATGGTAGTGTGTATCTATGTGTAATGCAAATATTTTTACCAAAAAGAAGAATTCCAACTAAATGTAAAAGATTAATAAATTAAATTATTTACCAAAGAAAGAAAGGAAGAAACAAAAAGAAAGAAAGATGTTTCCAATTATATGCTACAATTATTAAGAGCACAGGCTCTTAGTTTTCTCACCTATAAAATAAGGGTCCAAAGAATGTTAAGTATAGAAGTAAAGATTAGTTCTAATCTTTGACCCAGAATAAACTTTGGAGAAAGAGGTTACTGATAAGAAGTGTGAAGTTGACCAGGTGTAGAAATGTGGTCCCAGGTGTAGAGTTTCACAGCAAGTCAACTCTTTGCATTTACCTAACACTTCAGATATAGAAGGACATGGTTCCTTGAATTTGTCTCCTGGGAGGTGGGTTATTAGTGGTCATTAATGCCTACTAAATGTCAGCCAATCAGATGGCATTTCTCTGCCCCTCATTTCCCAACATAGTTTACATATAATTGTTTTCAACCTATGTCTTAATGAAGCATTGTAGAACCAATCTAGTACAAATTTAGGAAGCATTTCACCAGACCTACCTAGTTTACTTATGATATTTTCATAAATATTTGCAGAAAGCTATCATTGAAATCCAGTCTATATCCTAATATAATGGTGAATAAAACATATGACAATATTAGAATGGATATATCTTTATATGTCAATATACAATAAATACACAGAAAAAGTAGTGAAAACTTTATGCATAATAAACACAACTTTATAGATATTCATTATCTTAATTAAACTGGTGACAACCATTCAAGAAGAATTTTAACTTTACCTTTCTAGATTTTTGTTAAATTAATTTTGACTATTTTTCTGAATACATTCATAATTTTCTATAAGATGTAAATATCATGAGTAGTAGAGTATATAGTTGACTAAAAGGAGTAGCTGTCATCAACAAAACAACTACAGTTTAATGTGGCAATAACACTAATGAACGATGCATAATAGACATGTAGTAAGCAGAGACATTTTACCATAACAGTATAATAGCAATGTAATATTATATTCATTTTCAGATAACAAGGATAAATAGCTCTTTTGTAATAAAACATTGGGCATGCCTCTTTGGGGATTTACCAATCATTAAAAAAATATATTTTTTTATTGCTGACATTATTACAGATGTCCCCCATTTCTCTCCCCTTTGCCCACCTCCACCGAGACCTGCTCTACCCTCCCTCTGGCCCTCACCACACTGTTGACTGTGTCAATGGGTTATGCATATAAGTTATCTAGCTATTTCTTCACCTTCTTTCATTCCATCTGCCCCACCCACCTCTACTCTGACATCTGTCAATCTGTACCATGTATCCATGCCTATGGTTCTATTTTGTTCATCAGTTTATTTTGTTCATTAGATTCCACATATAAGTGAGACCATATGGTATTTGTCTTTCACTGACTGGCTTATTTTGCTTAAAACAATGATTATTGTTTTAAATTTAAACAGATATTTATTTGTCTTAAAATAGAATCTCAAAACAACAACAACATCAACACCCAAATTCACACACATAATACATAGAGTGTTAGGTGTGTACTGAATGATGCTGATGGGAAACAGTGGCTGCAGGATGAGGAATGGCGCCAAACTTAAGTTAGAATTCTAGAAGTTTGTCTGTGGATCTTCCATATTTGAAATGCCATTTCCTGATGTAATGCATTTTAAAAATTGTCATGTTTCTAAATTTTATGTATAATTTAAATTCTACCCTATATTAGTGTTTAATTTTAATTATGATTTTTCTTTTTAGGATAAAGTGTAATTTAAAAGGAAAAATGGTATGAAGCAAATTATTTACAGATGATAGTTCCCAAGCCATCCATTGGGTTTGAAATGCTTTAGCCCCATAGGTGTAGTCTCTTTTCAGAAGCACAACAGGATTAAATGCTAGCTGAACTTCTGTTTTAAGTGCTGCAAAACACAACACCTCGCGCCTAATATAAGCTAAGTGCTTTCACTAACTTTTGAGTAAGACTCATTCTTGGCTCCCTCCCCAGGGTTCAAAGGCAGATGAAAAAGTGACTCTATGAAAAATCATTAATACAATATACAGGTGACATATTATAGAATTGTACACTTGAAACCTATATAATATTATTAACCACTGCCACCCTAATAAATTCAATAAGAAAATAAAAATAAAGCAAAAACTAATGTTAGTTTATATATTATTTAAACAGTTTATTTATTTTGTTATTTTTGCTTTCCAATACAGTTTTTGAACAGCTCTATTGACATACAATTGAACATAATAAACTGTAAATATTTAAAGTAAAAAAAAGGAAAATTACTGAGTGCACTCATGGGAAAGCACATTTAGAATTTATAAGGCAACTATTTCTTTTTATTTTATTTTATTTTTTTATTTTTTTATTGTTTTATTGCTTAAAGTATTACAAAGGGTATTACATATGTGTCCTTTTTTTTCCCTCACCTTTGACAATCCCCTGGCCTCCCCTAACCCCCAGTGTCTTATGTCCATTGGTTATGTTTATAAGGACTTGTACGCAACTATTTCTTAAAGCAGATTAACCATGCCAGTTTGAGATTTTGAAGTATATTGATTTATGAATAAATAAAGTAGGAATATTTTTCCTGTTTCAATAATTCTACTTGTATTAATACACTAACAGATCCTATATGTCAGTGGTTCTCAAATTCTGTTTATGACAAATCCTGAATTGTATATTAAAACTGCATGTACCCAAATTCTAAATCCCCTCCCCATCCAGTAGGTCTGGGGTGAGCTTGGGAATATGTAATTTTCATAGACCTCACATGATTTTGATGCATGTGGTCCACCCATCATATTTGAGAAAAGACTTTTGGGTACCTTTTAAAAAATAAAAACCTCCAGAATCATTGAATGTGGAAACAAACTGGAATGAAATATCAGGGCAACGTATATCAAGCTTGAGCATCTGTCAATAAGTTCCATGCTTCACTAACCCAGAAAGGAGGAAAAAAAGTCCTTTGATTTCTCTGCCTTGCAACACTGGAACAGAATGTCCCTGACTTTCAAGTGGTTGATCTTCAAAGAAAGGAAAATAAAAAAAATAGCCATACTATTAATTGCTAGTATTTTTAGTATTTCAAAAAATTTGTTGTATACACTCCACTCATTAAAATATGCAATTATGACATTTTAAAAAAGCGATGGCATCTGGTGCTAAGGACAAAATAGTGGAAATTTACCACAGGAAGCCTGATGCTCCCACCTGTTTGTCTGAACAGGAAAGTTTTCTGAGGCCACTTATGGTATCCATAGCTGTCAACTGTGAGACAGACATGTAAGTTTGTTACTTTCCCCCAACACTCTGATTTGTGAATAATAATAGCAAATATCTAAGACAGTACCAGCTTAGATATTATTGTAAGTACTCTATACATAGTCAACACATGAATAATAAATTCTGTCATTATCTCCATTTTATAGATGTGAAACTGAGCCATGAAGAAATTACATTTCTTGAACAAGGTCACATAGCTGGTAAGTGAAAAAGCCTGAATTCAAACCCAGGCAACTTCCCCAGAGCCTGTGTTCTAGTATACAACATAACTCTCAATTTCAAGTTAGTTGTCCTGCCCAGTAGCCTTCTGGAGAGGCCAGTTTCATGTACGTTGGCATTACCGAAACATTCTTGCACTTTCCTTAATGTGATTGATCGCTGATACACTAGAAGCCAATCCAAGCAGCAGCTCAATCTGGCAATACGAAAAGGAAGTGAGCTGTCCCTCAGGCGAGACACAGGCCACAAGACATGCTGGGTTTGGTCTGTGGTTTTGGCCTGGACAATGTTTTACATTATAATTAGTTACCAAAATAAATACAATGAAATTTAGAAGGCTTATATGCAAAATCTGAATCTCTGCTCTCTCTCAGGACACTGGAACCTTACATTGGGTCTGTGTCTCCAGTTTCCCACAGTCCCTGATATCTGTATCCCCCAGACATTGGGGCTGAGGGTCCCTTACCTTTGATAACAACTCACTCATTCTACTTCATTTGTGTATCTTACCTGCCTGGCTCCTGTAGACATTTGACTTTGTGACACTTGAACAAAAACATTGTTTTAAAAGAGTAATAGAATCAAAACCATTATTAAAACTTGTAAAGGGAATTTCAGAGGGTGGCTTTACATTTCTTACTGGTGTGTAACTATGAGGAGTCAAGGGATGAATGCCATGCATTATCCAGAGCAAAAGAACGAAGGGGCAGATTAAAACCTTGGGGCACACAATTCTGGCCCTTCCTTGTCTATGTGCTCTCAATCAAATTCATCAACTTTCATGTAAAATAGCATATTTTCCAAATTCTGGGTACTGTTCACACTATAAAATGACATGAAGAAATATTTTCATACCATGGTCAATGTGTACTATTCCAGAGAAGATCAAAATGTTAGCAACATAAATAGAAGAAATTTTCCAAGGCAATATTGCAAATCCTTCTCTCTCTAAGGATGAAATCATTGATTCTTTAATAAACAGGATCCATCAAACAGAGTTATCACAAGAACAGACACTAATTTGGTCATGTCTGCTGAATAAGTAATGAGCAAATGTGTCTCTCTAATGGACTGCTGATATTTTTATCATGAGTAGAAATGTGTTCACCAAGAATTGTGTTATACAGAATTTAGTAACCAAATCTGCTTTGGACTGAGTCTTTAAAATGTTTTTCTTTATCCATGATACATACAAACTCCTTTGTGCTCTGTTTTTTTGTTTGTTTGTTTTGTCTTATGCACTGTCAGGATTTGTGCAGTCACATACTCAAACCCCTAGTTATTAAGCTCTGGGTTCACCTGGAAGATATTTACCATGCCAGGTCCTCAGCTTCATTATTATAATTTACAACCTGAGACATAGTTGGAACAATGAGGGATATCCAAAGTGATTATGGAAATGTAGAATGCTCAGTGCGCTCATTGTTACATTTTATGGTTTGAATGGGGTTACTGATATTACTGAAGGAATATTTCCTCACATGAGTTCCAAATTAGTAGCAAACATCCTAGATATACATTGTTCTTGAGGTTGTTTCTTACGCAAGCTAGGAGAAGTGTCTCCACAGTAGTTTTGTATTTCTGCATCATCAGTCAACTGGCACTGAAGGGGAAGAGATGATAAGAATTCAAAGTACTCATTATTGCTCTTTGTGAAAAATTACCATTTATTCCCCCTCTCCTATTATTCCTCAAAGTCTGTCTCATGCCTTTGGCATTCTGTTTGTCCAATCCTTCAGCCCATGTTGCACAGTTCTTTTCCTTTTCTTCCGACTTTACCCTTACTTGGTCCATATAGAGAAATATTTTAAAGTCAAATATACCAAGGTTTCCTTCATACAATACATAGAATATTTTCAATTTTTTCATCTTCAGTTAAAAAGGTTTGTAACCTATCATTCTGCTTCTCTTAAGGTTTCATCATACAGAGTCTGTAAGCAATTATTTATAAGCCTGCTTCCTTTCCTTAACAGCCTCTTGACCACTTGTACACTGAACTATTGCAACAGGTTCCGATTGAGACTACCAGCCAGAAGCCTGTTAGTGCCGTAATGAAAGCAATTTGTATCAACTAAGTCACAATGAAGAAACAAGAGGGAAAAGGTTAATCCTGCCAAATGGGTGTCTTATTGGATTAAATGAAAACTGCAGCTCACTCTTTCCCCAGAATCTGATGTGAAATATAAAGATACAAGTTGCATTGGCTAGAAGTATTTTTGGGTTTTGTTTTCTTTTCACTCTGTGCTTTAGCACATGCTTATCTGAAATCTCTACTTTTAGTTCACTGTCAAGAAGTTTCTCCTCTGATTTTGAATATGTCAGGAATGATTGAGATGTGTGTGAGTATGGATGGGTGAGTGTGTGTGTGTTGTGGGGGAGGGGGGCGGTGGGGTGGGAGGGAAGCAGTCCCAAAGAGAAGGAAATCAAGAGAGTTCTAAAGGTCTCTTTGTCAACTGTTCAACCAAAGAGCACATGTTTTATTGGGTACTCTCCAAACTCCCGGACTGAACTACTTATCTAATAATTTTAGCTGAATCTAAGTCTACCTTGTTAGAATTCTTAAAATGTGGAAATACGTTTTTGTAGGAATTTACTTTCTTTTCCCTGCAGATGATGCCCAGCAGATTACCATCATCTTCAAAATTTGTGAGCAACTGGGATGAGGATATCCTTCTAGGTCTTGGAAATACAAGAATATGGGGAAGTGTAAGGTTCTCTCTCTCTCTCTCTCTCTCTCTCTCTCTCTTTCTCTCTCCCACCAGGAGCTTACAATTTATTTGAGGAACAGATTATGCGCATGTACATATGCAGATAAAGATAAATTGGTAAGTTGAATAAACAATAATGATATGAGAGGGTGAGATAGGATCTGAAATGGAAAGTTCCATGGAGATGTATTAGCAGTTTAAATTTGCAGAGCCTTAATGCTCTATGGCATAATATTAACCAAAAGAATGACAACTATTAGAAAGAATGGAAGAAAGTCCTAGGAACACAATTAGTTTCTTTCCTCCTAGGGATCTATTTCCTTTGACCAGACTAACTGGGCTTAATCCTCTGCCTGGTGCTTTTGGTATTGCCCCGAATAATTGCTATAGAACAAGGGTCAGTAAAGTTTTTCTGTAAAGAGAGTCAGATATTTTAGGCTTTGTAACCCATGTAATTTTTGTCACAATACTCATTTACACATTTATAGTATGAAAGCAGTCATAGATAATATGTAAAAACGAAGCCTGGTAAGATTCTCTTAAAACAACCATTTATATATACTAAAATTAGAATTTTATATAGTTTTTATGCATCATGAAATAGTACTTACCTTTGGATTTTTTAAAACCACTTTAAAAATATAAGCCATTCTGAGCTCGTTGCTGTACAAAAATGGGTGGTATACTGGATTTGGCCCATGGATGGTAGATTACTGACCTCTCATAAGAAGACTTCAACATTTACCAGACTTTACCCTCACTCCAGCTCTATTCAGTTTCCACGTCTGTATAATGGACACTGGGTCCAGTTGCTATATAAAATTTAGGTAACTTGAAATCTTCAAAGCATAAAGCTAAAATTAATGCAATGACTTATTTGTTAATAAATGACTGACATAACTTTAGATCAAAAGAAGTCTCCTTGACATGTTAAGCAACAGAGACTATTGTCCAGGGAAAAGTCAAGTAACTAGAACATAGGATGATTGAATCAGAGTCTATATATAACTGATAGCGCAGCCTGGGTCCATTTCCTCTTTGACCAGCAGGGCAAAAGAGCAGAGAATTCCTCTTTGCAGAAGACATCACCTGAAAGAAAAGACTCAATGATACTGATATTTGTTGATTTCACAATGAAATTTCTTCAGTGTTCCATATTATTTTGACATATGGAGGTAAATACTAAACGTAACAGCTTTAAGTATGGAAAGTGGATGCCAGAGGGGAGCAGGACTTAAAGATGAGGAGAGATGGAACAGAGAACATACTGATTATATTTTAAGCCTTGTAATAATATCTAAATTTTAAAATACTTTAAACATTTTTATTGAATTTATTGGGGTGACATTGGTTGATAAAATTATATGTTTCATGTATACAACTCCATAATAAATCATCTGAATATTGCACTGTGTGTTCACCACCCAAACTCAAGTCTTCTGCCATCATCACTGAACCTGCCTTTACCCTCTTCTACCTCCTCCAATCCCCTTTCCCTTTGGTAATCACCATACTGTTGTCTGTGTCTGTTGTGTTTGTTTGTTTGTTTATTTATTTATTTATTTATTTATTTATTTATTTATTTATATTTTAAATGTATTTTTATTGATTTTAGAGAGAAAGAGGAAGGAAGAGGGATAGAGAGGTAGAAACATCAATGAGAGAGACACATTGCTCGGCTGTCTGCTGCATGTCCCCTACTGGGGATTTAGTCCTCAAATAGGGGCTTGTGACCTGACCGAGAATCAAACCCTGACCTCCTGGTACATGGGTCAATGCTAACTACTGAACCACACCAGCTGGGCGAGAAAAAATATTTAAATAGCAGCAGAGATTTGAAGGGCAGAGGTCACTGTCCTTGCATTGGTGGAGTGTCCTCGACTTGTGTCAGACCAGCTACTCATCTGTTTAAGGGAGATGATAATACTTCTTAATATTCACAGAGTCTTTCCCACAAAGAAAAAGTTAATGTCTGTTGTTTTGTTAATCCCTTCACCTTTTTACCCAGCCCTTTCCACCCAACCCCCCCTTCTAACAGCTGTCAAGCTCTTCTCTGTATCTGAGTCTGTTTCTATTTTCTTTGTTTTTAAATACTATAAATATTTTTTTATAAATATATATACAAATACTATATATTTTTTCATAAATATAATAATTTAAGTATAAAGAAGAAAAAACTAGCCCTCCCCTCCCCCAGTGACTCTCAAGACCTACAGAACAATACCACACTTTTTATTTGGCATGTCACACAGGACAGTCTATAGCTTGGGCATAGCCCACCTTTTAGGTCTCACCACAGTCACTCAGACACACCAGGCAAAGAACTATTCTGTTCAATCCACTTTTACATCCCTGTGTTCTTGTTTCTGTTGTTTTTTCTTTTGAATGTCCTTTCCTTGTTCTCTGCCTGGTGAAATACTTATCTTTCAGAAAACACCAGCTTAAATATTGCCTCCTCTCTGTACCTTCCACAGACCCCAGGGGAATCATTAATTGACTCATTATCTATGTACTCTCATCACTTTTGACAAGTTTACACTATGGCACTTAGCACAGAGGATTACTTATTTATTGGACTCTCATGGTGTTAGACTGTAAGTATCTCAAAGCAAAAATCAGGTCTCATTAATCTTTATATCACCATTTCCTGCCATATAATAGTTGCTCAGGTAATAGTCATTGAATTAAAGATGTATTTGGCGACAGTCAGATGTTTAATGAGGAAGAAGCCACATAATTAGTGATCAATTGAATTTACACTACAAGGACAAAAGTCAAAGATGTATCATACTTTTAAATTTTTAAATAGTTGGTAACTAGACTGATGGTACTATTGATAGGTACCATTGAAAGGGGAGAAGCTTTTTTTGCAGCAAATATAACACGTTTGGTTTAATTCTTTCTGAGCCGTGGATTGACAATGAGTCATCTAATAAATATTTATTATCAGAAGTCAGAGAAACTGGTTGAATTTCAAAAGAGAAAATATAGATTATATTGACATTAGCATATTAGACCATCTGTGAACCCAGGAGACTTGATAAGATTTCTGAGGTAGATAATTGCTTTAAACAATAATTCTTAATTTCAGATGTGCATAGGAATCATGGGGAGAGCTTGGGAAAATACACATTTATGTGACTCCATTTTCTGAGATTCTGATTCACAAGGGTTGGGACAGGGCCCAGGAATATGCATCTTGGCAAGCACCTTTTGGGAAATTTGATGTAGACAGTCCCTCATCTACACTTCGAGGGGTTACTGACATAATGGGGGAAGGAAAGGGTTGAAGAGATTAATTTGGGAAAGATTTGGAAGGCGGGAGAAATATGTATACTCAAGGTAGGAGAAAGGGATAGACAGATGCAATTTGAAAATGGCTTTGCTACTATCTGCTGGAAACAGAAAACACTGGAATTAGAATTTACCAGTTACTTTATCTGTCTTCAAAATGTATTCTTCTGACTCGTGGTTTGAATTTTAAAAGTCCCCTCGCAGACTGCATAAACAGCTTATTATAAGGACTTAGAGAAGATATCTGGGAACTCATGTCCCTTTGCAACCTATGCTGATTGAGAATTTTCCTGCTCTAAGAATCATGCCTTTTTCTTCCACTTACCAAATGCTTTTGCAGTAATACAATAAAATATATTTTCATATTTGACATCCTTTTATTAAGTAAATCACATAGAAAGTCTTTATAATTATGAGCATTGTTTTTCACTATATAAAATACTCTTTGGTGATGACTCATTTTTACATGCAAAATTCAAAAAAATCTATCATTGTCTGCATAAATTATTATTGAAAATTTGCTTTTACTGCCAACTCTGAAAATAAATAAAGCCGTGAGAATATTTTTTAAGCAGTCTAAATTCCTTTTTTAATAGAGCCACAGCTTGTTCTATAATGAAAACAAGTCCAACTGAAATTTTAATGATAAGGCAGGGTAGGGTTGTGGCCGGTGGTGTGTGTGTGGGGGTGGTGTAAGAGATCAACCAAAGGACTTATATGCATGCATATAAGAATAGCCAATGGACACAGACGCTGGGGGGAGGGGGAGTGAGGACATATGCTGGGGAGTAGGGGAAGCCGGGGGAGGCCAATGGGGGAAAAAGGAGACATATGTACTACTATTTGTAATACCTTAAACAATAAAAAAATAAAATAAAATAAAACATAAAAATATTTATTAAAAAAGATAACTACTTATTTATTAAATTATTTACCTAATTTAATAAATTATAAATAAACACATGTTAACCAAACATGTTATAGTTAAATTTGCCAACTGCTTCATTCCAAAAAGATATTAAACATGAAAACTACCATTGCCCACTACATGTGGAGATTAACAAAGACTACCAAATGAGAACAAGCAAAGATTATCCAGAGCTTGTTGCAGCAAAAACATCGGCCGCCATTACTAGAGTTTGGCAGAAACCCAGAGACAGGCAGGGA